TTTTTTTTTTTTTTTTTTTTAAATCCTGGATGGTGATGTATCCTCTTTCCAATACAGAAACAGGGGAGACTGGCTCTATTTAGTTTGTCTGATTGCTTTTAAGAGGAGGGACAGGTCGGCTCCGAGAAACCATGGTCCTCTGTTCATTAAAGTGTCAATAATGCCCGGTCCAGGCATATCGACAGCAGATTAGCTCAGGCTGAGTCTGTGGACAAGATCAGAATCTTTTTTAACCCAGCTTGTTTCCAGATCAATACACCCATCAGCATTCGAAAATTAGCCCAAGATGAGATTCTGATACTTGAGGTGGTATGTCATGCTCAGAGGCCACCTTTGCCAAGCCACAGGTGTAAACGCCTAGCTGGGGATTAGCCACTTTCCATCCCCATGGATACGTGTGAGGATTGATGTAGACCCCATCCTCCACGCCCTGCCCCTCCCACCTCCCCCCCACCACCCACTCTCAACCTTCCCTCTTTGAGTCTGTGTAAGTCCTTGGGGCTATAACCCAGCCATTTGCCTCAAGGGGCATTTATTAAATGTGCACTTTGTTCGAGGCACTTTCCAGGTGCTCAGGGCAGAGGAGTGTATGGGTGTGAGCGAGGAAGGGGAGGGGACCTTAAGGAAAAACAATGACACAAACATGATCCTTGTTTTCAAGGAGGCTTCGGAGTTTTTCACGACTCCTTCCATTTTCCAGTTCCATAAAGGTCCTGCTTCCTAAGGCAAGCGTCTGTGATGGTGTAGAGTTCCTAAGGTCTGTCTGTCAGTGTCAGGCACTCTCAGCAGTAAGTGTGTGTACTGGGGGGAGGGAATGGGGTGGGGGGGCATGGGGCATGGCTGCAAACGTACCCCCTGGTGCTACCGACTGGGTCACTGGGGCATCCATCAAACTCCCTCACAGAACAGTGTGATTCTCAATCTTTTTCTGGCCAATGATAAAACTTTCGTCCACCAACACCATCTCATGCAACAATACCTACTCTGCTGTTTGTGATACATTCTGATACTGTCTATGCAATTCCATTTCCTTAAAAAAAAAGCTGTTTGTATCCAGCAGTTTGAAGATCTTCATATATAGAACCAACAGAGGAAACAACCATCATCGTTTCCCTTTAGAAAGAAAGAGGGAAAGATAACATAAAATAAAAACAACTTGGTGTGACCAAGCTGTGTCACAGCACGGGGGGCCACCCACCCCACTGGCCTCATCCCTCAGCCGCCGGAGCCTGTGTGGGTCTCTCTCCAGCCTGTCTTCTTCCCACCACTGCCCACCGACCTCGCCCTTCACAGTCGGGACCCTGACCCAAGCTGCCCTCTGTCCTGCCTTCTCCCAGCTCCCTTTCCTTCCCTCCCTTCCCCGCTCCTTGTGGCTCTCACCTACCACCCACAGCTCTCCCCTTCCCTCTGGGCTGCTGGAAAGGAGGGGAGGGGAGGCTGGAGGAGCCTCTGGACCTGGAGCTTACTGCTGTGGACCTGCCATTCAGGGGGATGAAGAGAGCTGGGAATGAGAGCTGGAGAAAAGACCAGCAGAGGATCTGGCTCCATCGCTTGGGGGCTTCACCTCTGAGGTAAAGGAGCAAGGATGTGGTGCACAGTTAAATGCGTTCTTTTTTTGTTTGTTTGCTTTGTTTTTTTAACATCTTTATTGGAGTATAATTGCTTTACAATGGTGTGTTAGTTTCTGCTTTATAACAAAGTGAATCGGCCATACGTATACATATATGTCCATATCTCCCCCCCCCCACCCCC